TGCGGAGCTGAGGGCAGACATCAGTAAGAACATAAAAGCATTAAAAAGACAGGAAAGAAAGAAAAGATCAAAGTGGATGTCACATGAGACTCTGAAACTTGCTCTCAATCAGAGTAACTAAAGCAAATGGCAGACATGAAACTTTCAAAGGGAAGCGCAAGAAGACAGAGTTAAATATTATAATGAAATGTGCAAAGACCTAGAGTTAGAAAACCAAAAAGGAAGGACCTACTCAGAATTTCTTAACTGGAAAGAACGAAAGTAGCAATTTAAGCCTCCAGTTGCAACAATGAAATATGCTATGGGAGAACTATTGAATGATGCAGGAAACATTGAAAGAAGATGGAAAGAGTACAGCCACTCTACCAAAAAGAACTCGTTGACATCCCACTATTTCAAGGGGTAGTGCGTGAGCAGGAACCTATGGTACTAAAGGAAGAAGTCCAAGCTGCACTGAACGCATTCACCAAAACAAGGCTCCAGGAATTGACAGACCACCAATGGAAATGTTTCAACAAGCTGGTGAAGCCCTGGAAGTGCTCAATCATCCATACCGGGAAATGTGGAAGACCGTTACTGGGCCAACTGCCTAAAAGAGATCCATATTTGTGCCCATTCCAACTGAAGGGGTCCAACAGAATGCTCAAAGTGGAGGAAAATATCATTGGCATGACAGGCAAGTAAAATTTTGCTGAGGATCATCCAACAGTTGCAGCAGGACATTGACAGGAAGCTGCCGGAGGTTCAGACAAGATTCAGAAGAAGACATGGAACAAAGGATATCATTGCTGATGTCAGAGGGCTCTTGGCTCAAAGAAGAGAATTCCAGAAAGACGTTTCCTTGTGTTTCATTGACTACGCAAAGGCATTCAACTGCGTGGCTCATAGTAAACTATAGATAACATGGAGAAAAAGCCCAGAACACTTCGCAGTGCTCCTGCAGAATCTGCACCTGGATCAAGAGGCTGTTGTGCAAACAGAACAAGGGCACTTTCTCTCCCCAGGCTTGTTCTACCTGTACACTGAGAACACCAGCTGAGAGCTGGCTCCCTGAAGAAGATACAGCAGCAGGAGTGGAGGGAAGCTCATTAACCCCTGTGCTATGCAGATGACACAACCTGCTGGCAGAATGTGAGGAGGACTGCAACTACCTGCTGGTGACGACCGAGGGTTGTGGGTAGCCTTCGGGATGGATGATGACTCAATGTGACGAGACCAAAAGCCTCAGCACGACTCCAATAGGCAACACCATGACAAGTGGAGAACAAGTTGACGTTGTTTATTTCACCTTGCCTGGATCCACAGTCAATGCTCATGGAAGCAACAGTCAAGGACATACTGTCTTAGATAAACCTGCTGCACAAGACTTCTGTAAAGTGTGGAAAAGCAAGCAGGTTACTTTGAGGACTAAGGTAAGGCGCCGTCCTTGACAATTGCTTCATATTCGTGTGATGCTAGACATTGAATTAGGAAGACCAAAGAAAACGCAATGTCTTTGAGCTATGGTGCTGGGGAAGAAGACTGAACATAGCACTACTGCCAAAAGAACACACCAATCTGTCTTGGAAGAAGCACAGCCAGACTGCTCCTCGGAGACAAGGGTGGGGAGACGTCCTCTCACGTACTTTGAACACGCTGTCGGGAGAGACCAGTCCCTGGAGAAGGACATGTGCTTGGTGAAGTGACGGGGTGACAAAAAGGAGGAAGGCCTCTGTGAGAGGGATGGACACAGTGGCTGCAACAATGGGCCCGAGCATCAAAGCAAGCGGGAAGATGGCCTGGGGCGGTTGGAAGGGCTTCTCTTGAGTGAGGCGTGGGGTGTTAGCTGATAGGGATGACAGAAAATACCTGACTTTGTGGACAGTTTTCTCTCTGCTGCAATGACTTCATGCTATTATTTTAGATGGAAAGCAGGCACAGGTATGTGTAAACAAATAGCATGGTGGCGTTTCAAAAGCATTTGATGTATTGACCTCAAACTGGGAATGTCATATGATGTTTCACGCGACACAAACGGTTCTCTGGTCATTTTCAATCACTTGACAATGGAAGGGGGAAAACAAAACAAAACATGCACACGGACAGTAGTGCCAAAGCAGACAACAGGCTGAATTTGCCCCACCCCACCCCAGCCACAGTGTGCCCAGCCCTGCATTATATACAGCACAGTGTCCTGGGAGACAAGGGTTCTGTCTGTTTGGGTTATTGCTCTGTGCCAAGAACCTAAAACAACGGCTGGCAAATGGCACATACTCAACAAATACTCACAGAATCAAAGAATGGTAAGCTGCGTGGCTCGATGAGGAGCCCTGATGGCACTGTGGGCTACACACTGAGTCACTACCCATGAAGTCATTGGTTCCAACCCAGTACCCACTTCCCAGGAGAACGATCGGGCTGTCTGCTTCTGCAAAGATTTATAATCTCTGAAAACCAAAGGAGCCGTTCTCCTAGGGTCCCTACAAGTCATAGACTACTCGATGGCGAGGAATTTGGGCTTGGGGCGAGTCTGTGTAGGAAACTATTTCACCTCTTGCTGCCACTGTTTTCCATCTGTGCAATGGGAGTGCCTGTACACTAGCGGTGAGCGTCCAGTGCCATTGAAACACACAGAGTCACCTTGCAAGTGTCCCAGCCGCCTTACAGAGCAGCTGCTATTTCTGACCCCCCCACCCCACCCTGCGGAGCCCATGGTTCACCTAGAGGAGGTGTGTCAGAAGTGTCTGTACCTGGAAGCAATCTGACCTGGAGGAGGAGCAAGGTGCCTAGGTAAGGCTACCAGGCCTTGCACCACTTTAGGGGTCAGAGTGGGGGACGCTGGCCAAGAGCAGCAAGGTAGTCCCAGTCCAAGGGCAACTGCAAGGACTCTGTTGGCACCCTGAGCGTACTCATTAGGCAGACAAGGTCAGGAGGCCAAATGGAATGAGCCAGGGTGTTGGGATCAGGCTAACAGGGTCCTACTGCTGGCTGGAACACTGCTCATACTGTGGCAGCAGCAAGGTCACTTAAACTGCCCCAGGCTCCGTTTCATTGTCTTTAAGCTGGGGACAAGAAGACTGCTCAGCTCACAAGGTTTAGGGAGCTAATGGCAGGAGGGGTGCAGTAGGTTTGCTCAACGCCTGGCCTGTGCAGCACCCTGAGCGTGGGCGTTCCTCCCCGGCTCTTGTTGAATGGGGCAGGGTCTGACTCTTTGTGGCCCCTTGCTCTCCGCTCGGGTTTTCAGTTCTATGTGAAAAAATAAAAGCCCTGCTGATGTTCTTCTCTGGATGTAAAAACCATCCCGCGGCTCTGCACGCTCCCCAAAGCCAAGGAACCCACTCCTTGGTGAGGGCTGGGGGGGGTGGGGGGGCTGGGGGGAGAGCCAAGCCTCTCTCCTGTTCTCCTTCCATCCCTGCTGCCCCCTAGACCTGAAAGGAATGAGAAACCAATCCCATTCGGCCATTCACTACCTGTCCGAGGAAGAGGCTTGACGGCAGAAGAAGAGCGATACTAGAGATGGTGAAGGTAGTTCCTGCTCAGATGCTGTCAGTCTTTCTGTCTCTCTCCCTGCCATCTAATTGCAAACACATCCATGCATGTAGTCACACAACCAGATGGTGCAATGTAACAGAAAGGTTGGTTGGTTCCAGTCCTGGAAGCCCCAGGTTTGGATTCTGGTTTTACAATGTAGTCGCTGTATGACCTTGAACAGGATATTCCCTCTTCTGCCCACACTTAGCCATTAAGTAGTGGAGCCAAGACCAAGGGTGAGCATTAATCTCATCTCCAAACCTAGTGCTCACAACCACTGGACATCAACCTAATGGGAGAGGCAGCGTCTGTCCAGAGGGCTGGCTCAAGCTCACCCGCTCCCTTGCTGGGTAACCTGGGACAAATTACTTCCCTATTCCAAACTGCGGCCTTCTGATCTATGAAACTAACAGATTCCACGGCCCTCCTCCATCTCCAGCTAAGAGTACTCTGCGGCTCAGAACCTGTGCTGGGAATCTGGATGGATTTGGAAGGAGGCCGGCTGAGAAGTAAGGGAGCATTTGCCTTGTAGTCTGGACGCAAGTGGAACAGCCGAGGGTAGGTTGAAGGTGATTTGGTGAACCAAAACTAGACTACAGGGAAGGGAGGTGTGGGCCTGCTCACTCCCAATTAGACCTGCCCATGGAAACGCTCAGAGTACCTACCCCCAACCCCGCAAGCACGACCACCAGCCTTTCCCTAAAACTTGGCTGGGAACCCCCCAGATGTCAGCCCCAGCCTCAACTTGCCCTCTCTCCTGGCAAGAGTGCCTGCGGGCTTATCTGCCGGTCTGAACCATTCAGACGATCTGGGTGAGGCAGAAATCTGGTGGAAGGTGGGAGGTACTGGAACAGGATGAAGGGGCTTTTACCTAAAGCACCAGGAGCCAGTCAGATCACTGCACTCCTTCTCTAGACCCTAACTCACTCCCAGGCCATATTGATGCAGCATACCCTTGGACTTAAACTGAGAGGTCCTCATGCAAGCCTTCTAGTCCTTTACCAGCTTGGGGAAGACTTTGATTGCCTACATATCCAACACCCACCCTTTGCTATCTGTTCTATCCCCCAAGAAGCCGAGCCTCTCCCTTCTCCTGGGTGCCTGCTGTGAGTGAAGAACCAAAGATCCCAACCTTCACTAGCCCCCACTCCCCCACCCTCCGCCTGCCTGGCCTGCCTCCTGCTGTGTTCCACCCTCTGGACTCCCTGACTTGACTTTCTCTGTTGGTTACTCCATCCAGGAAGTCCTGAGTCCCCCTTTGGGCTCTCCCTGTCCTAGTCAGGCTGTCCCCTCCACTTCTACGCTGACTTCCACAGTCAAGATCCCAGCAGCCCCCTGTGAATAATGGCTGAGGTCTGGGGAAAGGAAGCATTCAGGGTACTGGTTCGAGGTCCCCAGATGGCCTCCATGAGGTCTCTCCCAACCCTCCCCAGCTCCCAGGCTACCCCGGGGCCTCCGGGTCCTGTGCATCGGGACAGCTGCATCCGTACCTTCTCCAGCTGGTGAACACCCTCTTCCACACAGCAGATGGAGGCCAGTGTGCGGAGGGCCTGGGGGTACAGGCACCGGAAACTGTCCTGCCGGCAAACCTTGAAGAGTGCAACGACACCCCCCTCCTGACAAGAGAAAGGAAAATGGCACATGACCTTACGGTGTGACCCTCTCTGGCTTTGACCCAAGACCCGTCAGCATCATTCTCACAGCTGTTACGCTTTGCACAATCTCCTCCAACACACTCACTCACTCACTCACACACATACACACATACGCACATGCTCACAGGATCCTGTGCTCCCATAGGGACATTCGTGACATGCTTGCTCTGTAAGTATTATTACCCTTTATAGCCCAAGACCCAGGGGTCAACAGCATTCAACAGAACTCACGGTCACGGTAACAGCACGCTCTCTCTCACTCTCTCTCTCTCTCTCTGACAGGTGTGGGGCAAACCTGGGGGTTAGAGAAAACCAGTCCACGGCAGTTGGAGGGAACCCCAAACTAAATACCCAGTGCTGGTTCTCATCCATCACTCCACCCAACCACCACAGGAGACCAACACAAAGAGGAGTGTTGTTTATATCCCTGCTATACCTGACTGGGGACAGAAATAGAAGCTCGGATTGGTGGAATGATCCACCCAAATCCACACCCGCCTTCACTCCAGTGGTGAAAGGAAGGAAACAACTTTAGGAGGATCTGCCCGGATCCTGAGTGTGAGCCAACACTGGTCCTTTTGCAAGAGGTGGAGACACCTGTGTCTTGTGGCAACTGCCCAGTGGATTGGCCACCGCCAGCATCGGGGCATCAGGACCTGAGCAGGCTCCAGGTTCACACTAATTAGGCATATGAAGTCTACAAGATTCAAGGGCTCCACCTCCGTCCTGGGCATAAAGTGAGAGAATCACAAAGATCCTTCATTGTGGCGCCCAACAAACTGGTGGCAATACGACCTTTGGCGTCCAGAGTGGGTAAAGCAGGAACCCCTCTGTCTGGCTTGGCCTTATTTGCTGCCTCACCCCTTTTCCTGGGGCCTGGGAGAATGCCTAGTGTGGCAGCAATAAATAATACTCAGGCAACGCGCCTAAGCTTGGGAGAAGTTGTCTCAATCTCATCATCTCATAGATCTATCCAAGCCCATTGAACTCTCTTCCCAAGACTAGGGAAACTATATATATTCTTAAAGTCATTTCATTGGGGACTCATACAGCTCTTATCACAATCCTTCCATCCATGTGTCAAGCACATTTGTACATTTGTTGTCATCATCATTTTCAAAACATTCTCTTTCTACTTGAGCCCTTGGTATCGGCTCCTCTTTTTTTTTCCCTCTCCCCCCCTCCCTCCCTCATAAACCCCTGATAATTTATAAATTGTTATTATTTTTTCATGTCTTACACTGTCCAATGTCTCCCTTCACCCACTTTTCTGTTGTCCATCCCCCAGAGAGGGGGTTATATGTAGATTGTTGTGATCATTCTCCCTTTGTCCCCCAACCTTCCCCATACCTGCCTGGTATTGCTACTCTCATCATTGGCCTGAGGGGTTCATCTGTCCTGGATTCCCTGTGTTTCCAGATCGTTTCTGTACCTGTGTACATGCTCTGGTCTTGCCAGATTTGTAAGGGAGAATTGAGGTCCTGATAGTCAGCTGGGAGGAAGCATTAAAGAACTAGAGGAAAGTTGTATGTTCCATCAATGCTACACTACACTCTGACTGGCTCGTCTCTTCCTTGTGACCCTTCTGTAAGGGGATGTCCCACTGTCTACAGATGGGCTTTGGGTCCCCACTCTGCACTCTTCTTCATTCACATTGATATGATTTTTTGTTGTTGTTGTTCTGGGTCTTTGATGCCTGATACCTGATTCCCATTGACACCTTGTGATCACACAGACTGGTGTGCTTCTTCCATGTGGGCTTTGTTGCTTCTCAGCTAGATGGCCACTTGTTTATCTTCAAGCTTTTAACACCCCACATGCTATATCTTTTGATAGCTGGGCACCATCAGCTTTCTTCACCACATTTGCTTATACACCCGCTTTGTCTTCAGCAATCATGTAAGGAAGGTAAACATCATAGAATGCCAGTTTAATAGAACAAAGTGATCTTGCATTGAGGGTGTACTTGAGTAGAGGCCCAATGTCCATCTGCTACCTTAATACTAAACCTATAAATATATGCACATAGATGTATTTCCCAATCGTCATATATAAATATATTTACATATGCACATGCTTGTATTTAGACCTCAATAAATGCCCTTTGCCTCCTAGTTCTTTCCTCTGTTTCCTTTTACTTTTCTCTTGGCCCACTATCATGTTCAGCCTTCATTTGGGTTTCAGTAATTCCTCTTGGATGCATTGCCCTAGATCATGCCCTACCAGGCCTCCTACACCCTTCTTGCCATTGATTTTAGCTCACTTGTTGTTCCCTTGTCCCTGGGTTTGTTAACACCCACTTCCTTTCCCCTGCTTCCCCCTCTCCCATGTCCCCTTGGAACCATCGGTCCCATTTTTGTCTCCTCCAGATTGTTCATCCCGCCTATCTTATCTAGATAGACCTGTAGAGATAATAATATGAACAAAAAAATCAAGACAGAACAAAACAAAGCAACAAAAGAAAACAAAACAACAACAAAAACTAACGACAAAAAAAGAAAAGCCTGTTTAGAAGAATCTAAGCATTGCCTCTTCCCTGGGGGAGGGACAGCAGAGAGGAGGGCGGGGGTGGGATGTCAGACAGTGTAACTTATGACAAAACTATACTAAGTTATGAATTATGAAGGGTTCGTGGGGAAAGGGAGGGCAAAAATGAGCAACTGATATTAGGGGCTAAAGTGGAAGGCAAATATTTTGAGAATGATGAGGGCAATAAATGTACATATGTGCTTGACACAATGGATGGATGTATGGATAAGAATTGTACGAGCCACCAATAAAATAATTTTTTTTAAAAAGAAAAGCCTGTAAAAAGCCTGCAAATAGTTCAAGGTCTGTTTGTTGACCTTTAGTAGTGTTTTCCGGTCCAGTCTGCTAGGGTGGCATACGGTGGCCCCAAAGTCTATTTTTAGTATTCCCTGGGGACTTCATTGTTCTGCTCCCCTTGCTGCTCTGTTGCATGCCCATAGCGTTTCGCCCGGCGTGGTGGGACTAGGGAAAGGAGTATGGGGAAAAGTGGGTTCAGCAAAATACCATCCCCTTGTTGGATTCTTGAGCACTCTTGAAGCAGAAAAGCTGCACCTCCTTGCCCCAGCCATTGTCCCTGTACCCCGGGCTGCAGCAGTGAGGCACTGGAAAGAGACTGCGGAGCAGCCAGGAGAGAATCCCTGACGACAGCAGCCCGGTACAGGTTCCACAAAATAAGTCAATCCCAGATCTCCCCCCTCTCCTCCCCCACCGAGATGGACCCCTGGGTCCTTTTCCTGCTCAATGGACCGAGTGAAGGGCACCCAGCTCTGGGGAAGCTGATTGTTTCTGACATTTTAGAATCCGCTAAGAGAATCCCACCCTTTTCTATTTCAGTTTCCTTCTAAGTTGGTTGATTTGGCAGGGATAAACATACACAGGGCTGGTAAAGTCATCATGCGTTCAAACAACATGCATGGTTCATTCTGAAGCAGGCAGTGTGCTTGACACGAAGCAAGAGCAGCTCCGTTCCCATCGGCACTGAACTCATGATCTGACAGAAAAGGAGGACATTTGAAAAGCAGGCACACTGGGTAGAGGTGGAATGAAGCAGGGGTGAAGGAGTGCAGAGTGATGGGAGCACATCATCTCTGAGGGCTCTATAGAAGATTAGAAGCAGCCCTGGCAGTGTGGGGCTGAAGCACAGGGCTGCAAGCCACATGGTCGGCAGTTGGAAACCACCAGCAGCTTCGCAGGAGAGAGATGAGGCTTTCTACGCCCGTAAACAGTTACCATCTCAGAACCCACAGGGGTCGCTATGAGTCACATTGGCTCAGTTTTGAGAGAAAGTTAAGAGGGAACCACTAGTTTTAGATGCACATCGTACACCTATAGAACTGTGCTCTCCAAACCAAAACCTCACTGCCATCTCGAATCTATGCTGACTCACAGCAGCTCTAGAGGACAGAGTGGAACTGCCCTGCGGGTTTCTGAGACTGTCACTCCTTGTGGCAGTAGAAAGCCTATCTCTCTCCCATAACGCAGTTAATGGTTTCAAAGTGCGGACCTAGCAGCACCCAAGGCACCTCTCGTATTGTGCAAAATACCCACCTCTCTGATTCCCCCTCAACAGGAAGGCTTCCTGCCTGCCTGTGTGCCCATGGTTCTGGGGACATCTGCAGAGGCCCCGCAAAGGTCATACTTGGAGAGACACTGAAGTAGAATTAAGTTCATCTTGAACGTGAAAAGAAGCAAGTACCTTAAGCTCTTCTGGTCATTAAAGAATAGATGATAAATTAGATAGATAGATACATAGATAGATAGATACATACATACATTGATAGATTGATAGATAGATAGATACATACATACATACATACATACATACATTGATAGATTGATAGATAGATAGATAGATAGATAGATAGATAGATAGATAGATAGATAGCTCAACAGACAAAAGTGGAACTGGGGATATATGTATATGTGTGTAAGGTGCCCTGGTGGCTCTGTGGGGTAAGCTCTGAACTGCTTATCCCACTCTGAACAAGGTCAACAGTTCAAACCACTGGCCACTCCAGGAAAGAAAGATGAGGCTGTCTGTTCCTATTCACAGTCTGGGAAACCCTATATGGAGTCACTATGAGTCAGATTTGGTTCAATAGCAGGGGTATGGCTATATATGTGTATAAGGAGGCCTGGTGATGCAACAATTAAGCACTGAATTGTTAGCCCAAAGTTCAGTGGTTCAAGCCAACCAGTTGAACCATGGGAAAAAAATATCTTGTAATCTGTTACTATAAAAAAATGAACTTAAAACTCCGTATGGGGCAATTTTGCCCCATCATACAGGGTCCTAAGAATCAGAAACTACTTGACCACACAATGACATCGATGCACACATGTCTCTCTATGTATTCTTTTACATTATTTCTCTACAGAATCCCATGGTGATGCAGCAGCGAACCCAGCGCCGCTCACTGAAAGCTTGGCCA